GGGGTTCAGTCTGGTGAGATTTCTGTCTGGAGATTGAAGCTAATAAACGCAACCGAACTGTGTTTGCATTGTCTCTTGGAGTTCTTTGGGCTGAACCTGACAGAAATCTCCCCAGACTGAACCCTAGTTCCCAAGCCAGCCAGCCACAACACCGTGAATTGCTTAGGGAGGTGCAAGCCTCATCTTCTTGAACTTCCCACGCTCCTGCTGGGGGCTAAGAACATCCTTATTTCCCTGAACATGGCCTTCATAAGTCCATTCCATCACAGAAGCCCCTTGCTGGAAATCTTTGGACTATGTCTTTGTATAGGCCAACCAAATCCCATCTTGCTTTGTTTTGTATTGTGGTTTTGTGGTTTATTATATTGTGAGCTGCCCAGAGTGGGTTTGGAATCAGGCAAACACCTACATTGAAACAAACAAACAAATAAACAAGTTTTAATGGAGCTGATTATTTTGATCAGGAAACAGTGTCGGTGGGGGAAGGTTTAATCCTTTTTACCAAGGCTGTATTCATGGCTTCCCACTATTGCTACTGAGTTTTAGGAAAAGGTTACTAGATCTGATATCAAATCAAATCAAAACCTTTATTATGGCCTTTAGGCCAGAGAACATTGCAATAAAAATACATAAGCCTATAATTAATAAAACTAAAAGGTAGACATAAAATACAATAAAATTACATAAATTAATAAAGTAACATATCTGTTTGATAATACATCTAGTTTAGCCCAGGAAAAGATAGAAAAAGGCTTGAAATGTGTACAGTACATCTATGATATTGTTGATAGACATCAAACTGATATCTGATCATTGTTTTTAATATAAATTTAATGCTTTTTACCCTGTTTGCTTAACATATTGGTTAATATAGTAACATCCATCCATCCATACAGATAGGCGGACAGACAGACATAAAGCATTAATTTAAAATGTTAGCAATGACTCCATATTTGAGCTTTGATAGCATTAGGAAATTATTTTTTTTAAAAAATGCCATCCATCTTCTTATTCCTTCTCTCTTCTTTTTTCTGTACCAAGAGAATAAACTAACCTGCTCTCAGCCTTGGCCAGTTCTCTTGGCATTGCTTTCCACCAGAAGACATTGCAGTCTTTGTACCAGCATAAGTGTTGATATTTCCAAGCATTTGTCTCTAACTTTGCTTTCATCCATTTTATGTTAGTCCTATTTCCTAAGCTTATGAGTTTAGTATGCTGGATGCAATCCAGAGAAAGAAACAGAATTTGGATACCATTTCTCATGTTACCTTTCAGTTCGTATGAACCGTGAAATCTATATAATACAGCTGCAACAACATCCATGATCACTGAAGAATATTGCACAGTTGAAAAACATTTAATCTTTGTCAAGTGAATTGATACTATTTTACAGTCCTAGGCAATCACACCAAAGCATCTAATAATTGGCTTGATGTGATACAAAAATTATAGCAAAGCAGTTCTGTGTTTATTGATGAGTGGGCAGGTTGAAATACTTTAGTTACTTATTGCATGTACTGCTCTTGTTTATATCTCCATACATTAACATAGCTGGCATTTTTTAACAGCAAGTTCAAAGATGACTTGGCATAGAAATATTCTAGTTTAAAACTGGGGTAAAGGTATAACTGAGTAAGAATATCTGCTGTGCTTTAATGTGGATACCAAGGATATTGTGCTGGATATGTTTTACATTTTCTCTGGAAACTTAAATTGTCAAGCTACATATGACAGATATGCAGGGAAAGTATTGTCATCAAAATATGTTATGATCATTTTTCTTCAAGACACTATTCTAATTCAGACAAAGTCATTGTAAGTTTTACTGTGAATCCTGTTTTTTTTTTTTTAATTAGTTTTCCTAAACAATGTATTAGACTTGTCTTTCCAATGAATCTACCGTAACCAAAATAAATGAAGTAGAATTTTGGATTAGCAGCAGTGGCAAGACTCATTTTAAAGTTTAATAAAGCTGCCTTATGGAAGAGGTCTGGTTCAGTTAGAGTAGAAGTCCAGCAGTGTGCAGATATTCTAGGTTTGCATCATTAAATCAAATTCTAAGTTTTGTTTTATTTTGTTTTGTTTTTCCAAACAGGTTGAAGCAATGAAGACAGCACTTGACAGTCTTAGCCTGAATATTGTAGAGATGACAGATGAGCAGGCAACCTTAGATGGAGGAGATGTTTTATTTACAGGTATAGTAAGTAGTATTTATTATACATAAATCTTTTTAATGTTTGAATTCCACAGACAGGTTGCTTACAGCATACTGATGACTAACTACAGTATGTGCAAATTCTCCTAATATGACATTAGTAAAGTTGCTTTACTATTAGTGATATTAGACTTTCAATATAGGAAATCTTTTTCTAAGGTAAAATTCTTCATGTTATAATAACAAGCAAAGGAGAACAAATATAGTATTACTGGTATTATGTTATGTTAAGTATTAAAAATTTTCCTCTGACATTAACTTTCTTAGTTGTAACATACATTGTAATTACAGTCACTTTTCTTTGTACAGTATAGATAAATTTTAGGCCTTATGTAGTTTACAGTGTAACCGCATGATGTATCCTGAGAGAGCAAGCATGGAAATGACAAAATCAATTGCATTTTAAATAATTGTAAAATGTTTAAAAAGTGTTAAAATCATAGCTTGAACGGGAAAGTGGTGGTAAAAGCATAGCTTGAGCAGGATAGTGGTGGTGATAAAGTATCATGAAAGAATGTTTGCCAATAGCCCCATTATACATTATTTATATGTGAATTGAGTTTAACATCACATCATTAATACATATAAAGGCTAAGTTATGAATTTCCCAGTTGACTGGTATTTCCAACAATAGCATCAGAAACTCCCCAAAACTGGAAGTAATCTTAGGTGTTACATATGCTAACATATCTGTGTAAATGAAAATAAAGTTAAGGACATATGTCAAAAACTGTCAGATTTACCATATACAGTAGTTGCTAGCAAGAATATTTTAGGTAATGTTAGAAGCTGTATTGTTGAGCAACTACCAAGATTTACTACTTAGTGGAAAACTTGATAATTCTTGGATCTTCCAGTCCATGCTGCTTTTTCTCTTTACTGTTGCTGTAATCTATTTAAGTGGAGGCTGCTATAGAATTTTGAAAGAAAATCATCACTGTTGTTCTATTTATAAGATATTCTAAAAATCTGAAGATATCTATGAAACTCAATTTGTGTATATGAATCTGAGTTTCAAGTGACATCTCTTAATTATTCTAGGTTTATTATCTTCAGCTAAGTTGAAAAGAATTGATAGATAGATAGATAGATAGATAGATAGATAGATAGATAGATAGATAGATAGATATCATATGAGCATAAACATGAATGCATCTTTTCTGCTTTTAAGGTCGGGAATTTTTTGTGGGTCTTTCAAAACGGACCAACCATCGTGGTGCAGAAATTCTGGCAGACACCTTTAAGGTTAGTAGATTACACATGTACTCTCTGAGGATGGAAATGCAAATACAAGGCATGAAATTTGTACAAATGCAAATAAAGAGCCCCAAATAAGCTAGCAATTAGAGGTGTTTTGCAGTAATGTCAAGACAGCAACACATTGCACAGAACTGAGACAAATGAAAGTTCTTATTATAATAATGGGTGCTTATCAGACTTAATCTGTTGTGGTATCATCATTTTGAAAACAAGAAAGATCTAGGGTGAGATGGGGAGGAAGAGTTGATCACTTGTAATTATGAATCTATAGAGGACTGATTCACACATGACAATAAGCATATACCATGGTTACAAACCATAGTGACTGGGGTCCCATTAAGCCAAAGCCAGCAAAACACATTAGGAATTACGGTGATGTGTGAACCAGGCCAGTGTTCCATCCTAAGACTTATCAGGAGGATAAAAGATGAGGAAAGTGATATATGATAACTTAAGCTAGTATGATTTTTGCATAAGATACCATTACAGATGTAGATATAGATATCTGGGAGCCATACTGTATGCTAAGCACTCTTTTAAAAATAAGTGTAATAAATAATAATCCAAAATTACCAAAGAATCTTTAGCATATTATCATTCTAAATTCATTCTAACAATATAACTTACTGAATTTAGCATAGCTTATTTTCACAGGATGTTCATAGGATGAAGAGTGTACCAAAAAAAAAAAAAAGGTTTTAACTTACAGAGAATCAATAAGTTTATTTTACATATCATGCTGATTTCTATATTTTCCAGTCCCTGTCCATAAGAATAGTTGCTTCCAATGCTTCCCAATATTGTGCTGTACTTATTTTAGCTGATTGTTGGTAAAATTAACATAAATTGTACAGTTTCTTTCTTTGAAAAACTGTTCATTTTGTACTTGTTTTCTGAAATAATGATAGTATACAAAGGGAAATCAAAACTGTCCAGTGAAATGTGCTGTGTTTATCTCCAAAAGATATGCAGATAATTCAGACACTGAAAAATATAATTTATAATTGGCTTAATTTATAAAATGATTAATCTAAATAATTCCTTTGCAAATACCTCATTTATATACAGGATTATGCTGTTTCTACCGTCCCTGTTGCTGACTCCTTGCATTTGAAAAGTTTTTGCAGCATGGCTGGACCAAACCTCATTGCTATTGGTTCAAGTGAAGTTGCGCAGAAAGCCCTCAAGGTAAACATGATGAACATTGAGTGTGGCTTTTAGAGATAGTATTTTCCATTTAAAAAAAATCAGTCTACACAGGCTGCAAGTATAAACAATCTGGTCTCCCCAAACTGAAATGAAGGGCCAAATTCAGCCTAATGTGATATGGTTAAATGCCTGCTTATATTAACATGCAGGTTTCTAAAGATATAAATAAAGTCATCAAAATGGGGGTAGAGAGTTGTTCGTTATTAGAATAGCAGCAGACATAGAGAGTGAATCTAATCTCCCTGGTTGCAGTTATGAGGAAAAAAATTTCCTCTGACACTACAGTATTGCTTTGTGGTGAAATCAATGGAATGCTGATTTACTTACTTACAAAATTTATATAACTGCCGAAATTGAACATTGCAACTCCAGGTGGTGTACAATAAATAAAAAAACAAAGCAAAATAAAGAAGTTCAGTTAAAATCCAAAGCATCAATAGGTGACCAGAAAATCACATTCATATCCCTCTACAGTCGGGGAGGTCCACTAATCCCAGCCCCAAAGCCTAAGGAAACAGCCAGGGCTTTACTGCCTTTCTGAAGGCCATCAGGATTGGACCAGGCAGGCTCCACAACAGAAAAGATACACCTCCCAAATCCCATCAAATGGCATTATTTCAGGGAAGAGATCCCAGATGTGTCTACCGTATTATGTTCTGGCATGCAGTAGAAAAAGCATGAGAAGGGAATAACATAGTTGGCTTCTCATTGCAACAAAATATTGTATATCCCATGTTTGTTAGTAGTGGAGCAGAAATTAGGTATAGGAAGTGATAACTGAAAAATTACATTTTGTACTGTACATAGTTTTGCTCAACTTCTTATTTGAACTGCAGAATCTCTGTTCATCTGCCTGTTCTGCACATTCTGATAGGGTTAGGGATTAATGGAGACGTACCTAGAACTTGGATGAACTATAAGATGTACCCATTAGGAAATCCCCCTAAGTATCTGTCAGGATGTTGTTATCACTTTTGAAGGTCAACAAAAAGGATATTAGCCTCCTTGTCAGGAATCTTTGGAATGTTACTGTTGTTCAAATGAATTAGCTTTTTCCTGTTTTATGAAGTCATGCAGTATATTCCATGGACTAAGGCCAACAATATGAACATATTGGTTACAAAAGCATCCTTTCCTACTTTTTTTTCCCCAGAGAATAGGCCCCCTCCATGTTCAGGGATGGTGCTGATTTGAGATTGATGCCACCCTCCTATCCACCTATGGTGCCATATGACTTGGTGTTGGAAAGCTGAGTCAGTTAACTCCAGAGGAAGCAATATACAGGCACTGTTGTAACATTTCCTCTGGAGCTGCAGTGTTGTTTCTCATTGTCAAGAACTCTTGTTTGTCACCTATTAGAATTTCTGCCAAGTGTCAAAGCACTGTAGCTGGTACCTTGCCACCAACTCCCTATTTTGCATACACAATTGCAAGGTGGCTTTCTGTCCCACAGTCACCATTTTTTTTTTCTTTTGCTATAAAAGGAAATACAGTGAGGGGGGTTGAAGTACTTGTTGGAGTGCCAATATTCTTACTCCCATTTTGGCTGTCTGGGTAGCTCTTTGTCCTTCCCTCCTAAGTCTGATGAATTCCTGGGGTATAATTTCAGTCCCTAATCTCAGTGCATCTTCTTCAGAAGACTAGTTCAATAAAGAGATTGTGACAGTGTAGAGAAGGTTGCTTTCTATTCTTTGGATGCTTTTCATGTTTTTATCAATCTTGCCTCAGACTTTTAGTGACAGAGGGCAATACTGGTGAAGGAGCAAGAGAGTTTATATTAAAACATGAACACATCTTAGTGCTTGAATAGCCATGACTCAAGTTCAGTCACCACCAAGAATCCCTAGAGAAATTCCCAGTCCTCTGATACTGGCCTGTGAACTTGAAGGAGGGTAAGGCTGATTATGACCAAAGCTTCTATTGATGTTGGGAGACCACAGACTAATCCAACCTTTTTGAAAATGGATGTTCTCAGAACTGCTGGTTTGATGTATAGATCCCCACTGTGAATATTATGTTTATTTATGTGTTCTAAAATATAAATTGTTTAAAAGTTCAGCTACTCTGTGAAAAGTCTTTGAAAGAATTGTAAACATTGGGCTTGGTCCATTGTTTTATGTTGCTGCTATAAAAATTGGAGTTTGCTCACAATGCACCTGCTGGTGGAAAGGGAAAGCAATGATCTTCACAAATGTCCCACCTTTCTTTCTCATTGTTCTCTCATTGTTCTGGGGTCTTTCAGCTAGGTTTCTGTGCACATCAAAATTTATTTGGAAGAAGTGTTCTGGGCCTTATGGAAGGTCAAGCGCACTATGTCTCTTCTGTTCTTCATTAAGGTAGCATTTTTTTCAGGCTTAGATTTGTATGCTGTAATGAATAGCAGAGAGGTGCTGTACTTGCATGAGGTCTGAAAAATGTCTTCTGAATAATTTTCGAAGCATGCACAATCTACTCCCATCAGACCAACATATGCAACATATGAGACTGCAAAAGGAAGAATCGACAAAAACAGTTCTTTAAACAGTATCTACAGATTTGACTGCAGAAACGATTGCCTTAATTAAATATGTTCTTAAACGTCTTGTAATTCAGTATGAGCACACTAGGCTAGACAATTCTCAAAAGAATGTTGATGAACTGTTTCCTGGCTATACTTCTCTTTGTTGCTTATCAAGACTGACATTTAAAGACATTTGGAGTTAATACAATAGCTTGTTTTACTGAAATAACAGTGATGCCTATAGGATTACATATGTACAAGTGCAAAAACTATTATTATTATTATTATTATTATTATTATTATTATTATTATTAATGGTCGCATAGTCAGTCAGTTGTTTAGACTGGGTTTGCTATTTTTGTCCTCCTCTCGAATCCCTGGGATAGGCAGATGTTGTTGTTTACTAATATGAAAGGTATCATTGCAGGATGTAAGCTGTTCAAGTAAAGCTACCTTTTGCAATTGACTGATGGTGATTTTGTCAGTGCCGATGGTGTTCAAGTGGTGCTCCAGATGTTGTTGTTGTTATTTTTTTTCCTTCCTGCAGAATTAGTTTCATAAACTAGTGTTGAGAGATTTCTCCCTCCCTTATGGCATCTGAGTTTATGGAATCTCACAAGCTTCTGTGTTATCTCCCATGGTTTTTTAATTTACATATGAAGCTGCTGTGTGAAACCCTCTTGGAGTCTGGAGTCAAATGACATCCAGCTTTATATTTCATCATCATCATCAGAGTGTAGAGCTGCCTGGATTCAATAATAAGTTGGATGAAATCCCATTAAATCAACACTGCATCCTGGCAGATGCACAGGTACAAGATAGGTGGTACTTGGCTTAGCAATAGTACTTGCACCCACAACTTCAGGAACATTTGCAGAGTGGTTTACTCCTCGATCCTGCATCATCACTAGAACTTCAAACAGCCTTAGTGCCATTAGGTACTCAGCATCAGTCTTTCCTGGAAAAATCTCCAAATTGGATTACCATAATGCATTTCATGCAAGATGTCTTAAAATTGTTTAGAAAGTACATCAAATACAGGAATTAACTAGCCTATTACAGTTGGAGTCATGTCTTACCAGTTCTGAAGGAATTTCATTGGCTGCCAGTTCACCACTGAGGCCATTTCAAAGTATGATGCTTATTTTTAGAGCTCTAAATGACTTGAAATTGAAATATTTGAAATAATGCATCCTCTATCATCAGTCTGCATTTATCCGGATATGAGATGAAAGCCTTCTCCATATTACAGATGGAACAGAAGTAATCTTTTCATCAACAGAAAGAAGAGGACTGTTCCCTGAAGCAACATCTCAACTTGAAATACCTTCCTAAGGAAAGCATGCCTGGCATCAACATTTTATTGTTTGTTAGGGGCATACTATTAAATATACTGCCCTGTGGTGGTGGTGGTGGTGGTGGTGGTGGTGGTAGTGATGATTTTTGGATGAAAGTGCCATCTACAAAATGTGGAAACAAATTGTGTGGCAGGAATAGTGCCTTAAGGGTCTGAATAATGCCTCATTTGACTGAAAAGAATTTAGATCTAAGAATGCAAAGACTGCATTCAGACTTCACAAGACTAAGAACTAATATGTATGGCTCCATCTAGTGACTTAAAGTGTTTTTCTGTTAAGTTGAACAAATGGTCCTAAACATGAAGGACTGAATAAAGTTATTCTGAATAGTGACTCTTACCCTGATGCACACATACACACAAGCATTTTCTTTGCCTTTTCCTTCTGTTTATAATCAATGAAATGTTCCATAATTCATATGTTTATTCCTTGATATGGTACTCTAGAACAGGCTTACTGTGTAGCAAGGCAGAGCATTAAAATATGACATTCACCTGCAATTCAAAGTTGTAATGTTCAGAATTCTCTGTAAGGCACCCTTTCCCCAACTTGAACTCCTCCAAATAGGTTGGCTTTTAGTGGGCAGTACTGGGAGCTGTGGGTCCAACCATATACAGGGAGTGCTAGGTTAGGGAAGGATGTAGAAGAATTCTTTAAAATGTTTTAGCCTCATTTAATGTTCAGCCTTCATGGTGCTATTTCTGCTCAGTTGTGAACTGAGACAATTGCCCATACTATTTTTAGTTAAGGAAGAAGGATGGAATGGAGAGAGAAAGGATATCCAGTCTATATCTGCCGAGACTATAAAGGAGAGATTTTGATTCCAGATCAATTATAGTTCCCTGACTGCTTGTGTTCTATTGGCATTGTGGGGAAAAAAATGAAGTAACGTGCATTCTTTTATTTGAGTATAAAATAATCTTTTTACTCCTGAAGACCCTGTGTTATAGTGGGACTAATAATCTCTTCACACTGCTCTCTCTTTTGCACACAAGCACTGAGTCGTCTTCACTCTAATTTACAATTCCCTCAACCTCTCCCCCCACCAAAGTAAGGGGGGAGGTTTTTATGCTCGTCAGTAGATCTCTGCATCAGCCTTATGTTTTAACAGGGTCACACTA